ACCACAAAAAATGATGGAAGGAGAACCCGAGGGTCCTAGATAGGTCTTGCAGGGGAGGGAACACTTCAATTTTTTCCTTTATATGTTTTTGAACTCTAAAAATTATAAAGCCATAAACATACATTGCTTTAGTACCACAGTGACTCCCACTACTGCCACCACCAGCAGCAGAATTGTTAATAACAGTTAATAAAAAAAAGAGAGGCCAAGCATGGTGGCTCACGCCTGTAACCCCAGCACTTTGGGAAGCCGATGCGGGTGGATCACCTGAGTCAGGAGTTCGAGGAGTCAGTAGTCAGGAGTTCGAGACCAGCCTGGCCAACACGGGGAAACCCCGTCTCTACTAAAAATACAAAAATTAATCAGGTGTGGTGGCACATGCCTGTAATCTCAGTTACTAGGGCAGCTGAGGTAGGAGAATTGCTTGAACCCTGGAGGCAGAGGGTGCAGTGAGCTAAGATCATGCCACTGCACTTCAGCCTGGGCAACAGAGTGAGACTCTATCTCAAAAAAAAAATTAAATTAAAAATAAATAAAAAAGAGAGGAGAATCTCTGACCACAAAGAAAACAAGAAGAGCAGTTGAACATTCATGTGGGAATCCTCTGGGACAGAAGAAATATGAAACCCTAAAGATGCAAAATATTCAGAAAAAAATGAATAACATTTTGGGATGTATCGTGGGATATTAGGTGAAAGGATACATTTATTGTATTCCAAGGTTTTTTTTTAAATAAACGATTTAACGTCTTGTACATTCAGAGGTTGGAAATGAGAAAATAATTTAAATATGCAATTATTTTTATAATAACAAAGTTTTTCAAACATAAAAATGGGTTTATTTGCATAGCCATTGTCTGCATACCCTTTCTTGTTTGTTCAGTTCTCTGGTACAACTGTCTTTTTATTTTTTCCACCTAGGCTGGAGTACAGTGGCATAATCATAGCTCACTGTAGCACCAAACTCCTGAACTCAAAAGATCCTTCCACCTCAGCCTCCCAGGTAGCTGAAACTACAGGTGTGTGCCACAACATCCCACTAATGTTAAAACATTTTATTTATTGATTTATTTATTTTGAGACAGTCTTGCTCTGTTGCCCAGGCTGGAGTGCGTGGCACGATCTTGGCTCACTGCAACCTCTGCCTCCCAGGTTCAAGCACTTCCTACGCCTCAGCCCCTAAGTAGCTGGGATTACAGGTATGTAGCATCATGCCCAGCTATGTGCTCATGACAAATTAAACTTGTTTTGGATTATACTCCTTACCCTTCTCCCATCTCAAATGATCTACCATCTCAATTTCTCTATCAATGGAGTACTATAGCTGAAACTTCGTTATTCCCGACAAAAGCATGGTGGTACTTTAAATATCACTATTTAGCGAAACACTGGAAAGACAGAGTTACTTAAAGGAGAAAAGAAAAGCACCCTTCCTAAAGAGTTGATAATCAAGAATCGATTTAATTTTATTGGTATTTGTTGAACATTTGATGTGTGTCAGGGCAATAGCATCTGCAGAGGTTGCTGAGCGGAATAATGCGGTGTGCACAACGGTTAAAAGCAGGGATTGTTTTCAGCTTTTTTTTTTTTTTTTTTTTTTTTTTTGAGACAGTGTCTCTATCACCCAGGCTGGAGTGCAGTGGCACACAATCTCAGTTCACTGCAACCTCTGCCTCCCAGGTTCAAGTGATCCTCCCACCTCAGCCTTCCAAGTAGCTGGGACTACAGGTCTGCGCTACCATGCCTGGCTAATTTTTTTTTGTAATTTTAGTAGAGATGGAGTTTCCCCATGTTGGCCAGGCTGGTCTTGAACTCCTGAACTCAGGTGATATGACTGCCTCGGCCTCCCAAAGTGCTGGGATTACAGGTATGAGCCATTGTGCCCGGCCACCTGTATATATGTGTCTCAAGCTGCAAAACTGTGCACTAAAAATGGTAAATTTTACTGTGTGCAAATTGTATCTTAAAAAGTATATATATAGGTAATGTACAGGTGGGATAGCATCTGAGAGGTGGCATGACAAGTTGGTTAGGGACATGGGCTCTGCAATCAGCCAGTCTGGGCTTGGAAATCCTGGTTGAGATTTGGAGAAGGTAAGCACTTCTCTGAGAAGCCTGGTTGCATTGCTCCACAGTGCTGTTACCAGGATCACAAGAGACAGTGCAAAAACAGCATTTAATGAGGTGGTTGGCACATAACAAGTATCAGTATTACTTTTTTCCTTGAAAATAACAGCTCAGGCCAGGTGCGGTGGCTCACGCCTGTAATCCCAGCATTTTGAAAGGCCAAGGAGGGTGGATCACTTGAGGTCAGGAGTTCAAGATCAGCGTGGCCAGCATGGTGAAACCCCGTCTTAAACAAACAAACAAACAAAAAACAGGACAAGGGGTAAATTCTTTGGTCTAATGGAGGCACAGAGACAGTGACACATGGATTGGCAGGAGTTGCAGGCTGGGGAGAAGTGGGGTAAATGTTGAGAATGGCATTGCAACAGGATGGAACAGCATGTGCAAAGGCTAAAACATAACGTCATGTTTACAAATCTTCTAACATGGGCCTATCTGGAGCACTTAGTTCATGGGGAAGATCAAGGAGAGGAGAACAATGTGGATGATGAGAGCAGAGTTCTTTTTGATTTTTGTTTTAGAGACAGGGTCTTGCTCTTTTGCCCAGGCTGGAGTGCAGTGGCACGATCAGAGCTCACTGCAGCCTTGTATTCCTGTGCTGGTGATCCTCAGCCTCCCAAGTAGCTGGGACTACAGATGCATGCCACCATGCCTGGCTAATTATTATTATTGTTATTTTTGAGAAAGAGTCTTGCTCTTTCACCAGGCGCTGGGCTGGAGTGCAGTGGTGCAATCTCGGCTCACTGCAACCTATGCCTCCTGGGTTCAAGCAATTCTCCTGCCTCACCCTCCTGAGTATCTGGGACTACAGGCGTGTGCTACCACGCCCAGCGAATTTTTGTATTTTAGTAGAGATAGGTTTCACTATGTTAGCCAGGATGGTCTCGATCTCTTGACCTTGGGATTTGCCCGCCTCGGCTTCCCAAAGTGCTGCGATTACAGGCGTGAGCCTCTGTCCCCCGCCGGTTAATTATTTTTTATTTTATTTTTTGTAGAGATGGGATCTCTCTATGTTTTCTCAAGCTTTGGGGGTAGAATTCTGCAGAATGGGATTGTGAAGGGCTTCCTTGAGTTTCTGTATTTCTAACAAGTCTCCATGTGATGTGGATGTTACTGTACCACTTTGAGCAGTAAGGGTATAAAAGTCAAGGGAAGAAAGTGTTTCAGAATGCAGGAAGTGGCCAATTGTATTGAAGACAGGAAAACGCGAAGTCAAGCGGAGGACTGAAAGACTACTGTTATCAACCTGTAAGATGGGGTGTTCTCAGGGTAAGCAATAGGCAGATAGGAAAGGACAGAAGCCACCTTGGAGTGGTTGATGATTGCACGTCAGGGGTGGCAATGGAGAAAGTGCATATAAACAATTCTTTGGTGCAGCTTGGCTTTGAAAGGGAACAGGGTCGGGCCGGGCGCGGTGGCTCACGCCTGTAATCCCAGCACTTTGGGAGGCCGAGGCGGGTGGATCACGAGGTCAAAAGATCGAGACCATCCTGGTCAACATGGTGAAACCCCGTCTCTACTAAAAATACAAAAAATTACCTGGGCATGGTGGCGAGTGCCTGTAATCCCAGCTACTCAGGAGGCTGAGGCAGGAGAATTGCCTGAACCCAGGAGACGGAGGTTGCGGTGAGCTGAGATTGCGCCATTGCACTCCAGCCTGGGTAACAAGAGCGAAACTCCGTCCCAAAAAAAAAAAAAAAGAAAGAAAGAAAGAAAGAAAAAGGGAACAGGGTCGCAGGAAGTAGTTGGAGGGAGAATTGGAGGGTTTTTTTTTTTTGAGTCATAGTCTTGCTTTGTTGCCAGGCTGGAGTGCATTGGTGCGATCTCAGCTCACTGCAACCTCTGACTCCCTGGTTCAAGCGATTCTCCTGCCTCAGCCTCCCGAGCAGCTGGGATTACAGGCACGCGCCACCACGCCCGTTTTGGTATTTTCAGTAGAGACGGGGGTTTTACCATGTTGGCCAAGATGGTCTCGATCTCCTGACCTCGTGATCCACCCGCCTCGGCCTCTCAAAGTGCTGGGATAACAGGCATGAGCCACTGCGCCCTGCCAGAACTGGAATTTTTAACATTCCATTTTAAGATGGGAGACACTTTAAAGAACTGACAGAAAGGCTCCCGTAGGAAGTTGAAGACACAGGCAAGAATGGGATGCCTAAGGATAGGGTTGCTAGATTTAGCAAACACAGGACGCCCAGTTAAATTTGAATTTCAGAAAAATAACGAACAGTTATTTTAGTGTGTGCCCCAAATATTGCTGGGTGTCTTGTATTTTATCTGTCAATTCCAAAATAGTTCATCTCTAGGTAAGAGTTATAGCCCCAGATGTCCTAGGAAGGAGTCGGAGCTCTAAAGTCTTTCCTAGCTGTCCCAGTCCAACACTCTGGAATGAATTCTCAGTTCTATCAGAACTGTTAACAAGGAGAGAAACTGCTTTGAATTTCAGCTTTTGCGGCTTTCCCATTCTCTCTAGGATGGCAACTGGACAGGAAAATGCTGGACTAAAAGTGTGGAAAAGTTCTAACTTGAAAAACCAGCCCGTAAGGGATGCAGAGGCTTTTGAACTGCAAACGGGCTCTGGATTGGGAGTACAGAACAGTGAGTCACAGGGTGCCTGGTCTGGGCCCAACTCTGGACACCAGGTCCACTCAACTCAAGGGCAGGTACCCAGCAGCTGCCAAGGGGTCAGCGGGCGCCTGCGCAGTGCCGCGGCCCCGCCCTCTTCCAGCCTTTCATCCGGGTCTCGGGCAGGGGCGTGTCTGGGTAGAGGGGCGGGTGGCGGCGGAAAGGAAGGATGTCGTGGGAGACTGGAGAGTGGGGAGGGAAGCGGGAAGGGACGGGGGCGGAGCAAGGGGCGTGGCCGAGCGAACGCGCGGTCACGTGACGCGCGTGGCGACGTGTCGGCCATCTTGTGTTGTTGAGGCTGAGGACTGACTTGGGTTCTGAGACTCCCTGTCCCGGACCGCAGGTAACCAGCCATTCCGTGTAGCTCCCTTGCCCGGCTCTGCCCCGCGCACCGGCCCCGCCGCGGCGTCCCGGGCCGCCCGTGCCTCTGACCCGCGCTTGCGTCCCCGCCGCTCCTGCCCGAGCCGGCTTGGCCGCATGGACACCCACAGGCCGCTCCGGCCGGCTTGGGCCGTCAGGCGACGGGACAGGTCAGGTGCAGGGCCGGAGGGAGCCTCCTCCTGGGCGAGGGGCGCTGAGGGCCCTGGCGCGTCACGGCCGCGGGGAGCCGAGGAGCCCCTCGGCCAGGGCCTCTTGGCATTCCTAGAGGAGCAGAACAAGCCAGGAGGGTGGTGGGGCAGTCAGGCCGGCTTGCTCGGAGCCCGAGGGCTTGCCTTTCTCTGCCTACTTCTGCGGGCCAGTCACCCGCCCAGCCTTGGGGTGCCCCGGTAACAGCTGCTGCGGTCAGGCAGCTGCTCCTGCCGGCTCCCCTGTCCACACCTGGCCCCTGGGAGGTGCGCTTCTGCCTTCCCCACGGAGCATCTGGACGGAGGCAACTCCTTCGTTGGCGAGAGTACTGGGTCTGGACCAGGCCTGAGGCGAGGTGGAGCCACCAGGATCGGAACCTTGGGACTGAGGCAGGGAAAGTAGAGCCCAGGGCAGTTTTGGGGACCCAAATGTTCACATCAGGTTGAAATAGCCATTAGTCTTAAGTGTCAGCAGTTTCCAGAACCACTCTAAATACTTGTTTTGCAACTGAAACATAAATCAAGCTAACAGGGAATGGGGTCACGAAAGAAGCGGAGTGTGTGACCGTGTTTGAGAAGCAATAACGTTTTTGCAGTTATCTAGTGCTGTGTTTTTTTATTTTGTTTTCATTTTCCTGCAAGTCAGAGCACTTAAACACATGTCTCTCTGTAAGAAAGGTAAGTATTCCAGTTTAACTTGCAAGAAATTGAGTATGGGGCCAGAACCTGTGAACAACTTCCTATCTAGTGCTATATACCTTGAATTAAGGCAGTTTTGAGTCCCAGTGTTGTGTTTGGGGAAGGTATTCTTTCCTTATATATTATTTCGTTTTTAGAATCAAATGACTTCGTGGATTAGAAAAAAAAATGTCATTCTTTCTGTACATTAATTTTGATCTTTCTAATACTTGTAGATTTGACCTTACAGACTTTGTCGGTTTTGCCTGAAACACAAATGCTTTCTCTCATTCATTGATGGTTTCACGTGTTTTACTAGTTGGTATAGCAGTGTTTGGCGTGCTCAAAATGGAATGTGTGTGTACTTTTCTTTTACATCAGATGTTGACATCAGAAGAGGACACTAGAAAAGTATTTCAAAGTGGCACGTAACTGGAAAAACGTCACATGATCTTTCTTTTGAAATTTAACATCAAGGAATACACTGGTGATGGTAGTGATTCACTAGAAAGGAGAAGGCTTCATTCCTTTTTGATACCTGACAAAGTATTTGAGAGTCTTGGGGAGGCAGAAGGGACCATGTGCTTTCGTTCATTCATTTATTCATTCATGCATTCATTTATTTGACAGATACCCTATTGAGCATTTACTACACCGTTATGTGCTGGGAGCAAAACAGACCAAGTAATTCCTGTCTGTATGGAATTCATTTCTAGACAGATAAATAGGTAAAATACATGGTGTAGTGGTAAGTGAGGTGAAAGAAAAAATGAGTCAGGGAGATAGGGCAATAGCGATTTGGGGAGGGGTTAATTTTAAGTGCCCTGCGAAGGCCTTATGGAACAGATAACATTGTAGCAAAACCCCACAGAGGTGAAGGTGCTGTTTCTTTAGCTATACAGGGGGAAGAGTGCTCCAGCAAGCTGCTAGGGAGCAGTGAGAGCAAAGACACAGACCCAAAAACTTAGTTGGGAGCGACTCAGGAGTAGACTGGGAAAAGCATGGAGGGTAGCCTAGGCTAAGAGACAAGGGTGAGAGGGAGACTGGTAGGAGATGTGTGTACTTACATCTGTAGTACTAAGATGAGATGGATTATTTGCTACCCTGAATTCTTTTTCCTTATCTCTTATGATTCTTAGAAAGGGAAATCAGATTCTGGAGATTTGGGCCAGCAGCCTCCCAACCCCTATCCCCTATGTAATTCCCTTCTCCACCCATATTTGGAAAAATTTAGGATGCTCAAATATTTCAGGAAATTATAATGAATTATCTTTCTCAGAAGTAAACGTTTTAAAATGAGATTGATGATAAATAGCTTGAAAGTACTTTTCAAAAGCAGTTGCCTTTTAAGAAGGGGGATATTTGGAAATTTCAGGATATTTGAAAATGTAGGGAAATGAGAAATTTTCCTTTGACATTTAGACACATAATTAAGGAACATAACCAGGTAGAAAGGTGGAATCAGTGTAGTAACTCAAATTATCCTTAATCTGGTTAGGAAAGAATGTCTGTTAATACTGTGCTGTCCAGCCTAGGGACTCTTCCTGTAAGTCATGTGTGTATCCTTTATAACATTTTACATGTGTAGAACTTTTTGTGCTTTTTTATTCCTCCACTTTTACCTTCAGACTAATGGGATACTTAATAGACACATTTTTCTTGTAAAAAACATTTTCTGATTTCCTTCCAGTTTATCTCCATATTCTTTTTACTGAGCTTTCACAAATGTCCTCTTTCATTTTAGTTCAGCTGAGGAATTTTAATATTTTGATTTTGAAATGCTTTTGCTGCTGAGAGGCATATGTGAAAAACATTTTGGAGTAGGTTTGCCTCAAAATCATGAGAAGATGGGAATTACAAGGTCAGTGTGTGAATGCAACTCCTTGGCTAAAAGGGAGGCATAGTGATGGTAGTGATGAGGTAGTATTTTAACTAATTGCTTTTCTCCCTCTTGTTTTTCTGTTGTGTTTTTGAAATGACATTTCCAAATTATAATGTCTTTGATGTCATATCAGCTCATTTGTTTTCATGACTCTGCATTTTAATACTCCATATGTGTATTCTCTTTGTTGACCTTCACATTGGAAAATGACACAATTGATAGTGATTGCTGTCTGGGAGAACCTTTTTGGGTAAAAAGACTACTACTGTCCCTTTTATGATTGCCCTTCTAACGAATCTTTGACCTGTGCCATTTTCAAATTCTGACTGTTTGCAGGTCTCCATTAGCCTCTGCTGATTAAATTTTCCATACTTTCTGTTTTATTCTATTTCTTATAGATTTTAGTGGGACCCAGTCTCATTAGGTTGAATCTTCAGCCTATCTTGGTGTTAACCCAGTCTCTTAGAGGCAAGTTAAATGTCCATTTTCCTTTAGTTTAAATTACCATGGTATTGTTTGGTCATTGTTGTAAAAGTCTGAACGCAGGTTTTTTTTCCATTGCTTGACTTCCATTAGAGTTTTATGGTGATAAAGTCCTTTGGTTTTTGCATAGAAGAGTATTTTAAGAATAAAATAAACAAATATATAAAATGAAAAAGAAATAAACAAGTTTAAAATGAGATAAAAAAAAATCCTAAGGTTTCCATTCATTTTTAATGCCTTGAAAAATTACATCTCTTTAAAACTAGAGATTTTTATTTCACGTATAAACTTGCTTATAGTTTGCGTTGCAGTGTTTCTTGACCAAATATTGTTTTTACATTTTGTTCATGCTCTCAGATGAATGAGAAATATACTAAATTAATTATGCAGAAATGTAAAGTGTTACCTTTATTGCATTGCCTATAATTTTGTGTGAGGTTAAAAGAGGAGAGAGGTTTGAAAAACAAAGAATGTTCTCTTAATTGACCAAACTTCATTTCATAAAAATATTTCAAAGTCTTACCTACTTCCCTACTTTAAATAAGGAACATAATTGTGTTTTCTTGTTAACTATGGGGTTTCATTAACTTAAGCTTAATTAATTGTTATTATTTTTTGAGATGGAATCTCACTGTGTTGCCCAGGCTGCAGTTCAGGGGCCCAATCTTGGTTCACTGTGGCCTGTGATAGAGAGCAAGACCTTGTCTACTGGGAGGTCGAGGTTGTAGTAAGCTGTGATTGCACCTGTGCACTCTAGCCTATCACCTGTCTGCGCTCCAGACAGGTGATAGAACAAGACCCTGTCTTTTTTGGAGAGAGTCTTGCTCTATCACCTAGGCTAGAGTGCAGTGAGCTGTGCAATCATGGCTCACTGCAACCTTGACCTCCCAGGCTCAAGCCATCCTCTCAACCTCAGCCTCCTAAGTAGCCGTAATTACAGGTCCACACCACCACATCTGGCCAATATTTTTTATAGAGATGGGTTCTCACTGTGTTGCCGAGGCTGGTCTTAAACTTGTGGCCTAAAATGATACCCCAATTCAGCCTCCCAAAGTGCTGAGATTATAGGCCAGAGACACTGCTCCCCACCAAGTAATTTGAGAAAGTCACATCCACCTCTGATTTAATTATGCAAAAAAAGTAGCCATGTTATAATGTTCAAAGGTCATCCAGCTTTACTCCCTGAACTGTGTATTTTTTTTGAGGGCAGGTGGAAAGGGAAGGAGAAATGGATAATAAACTCATCTATGGCTGGGTGCAGTAGTTCACACCTATAGTCCTAGCACTTTGGGAGGTTGAGGTAGGAGGATCAGTTGAGCCCAGGAGTTCGAGAACCCCATCTCTAAAAAAGATTTTTAAAAATTAGCTGAGTGTGCAGCACACACCTATGATCTCAGCTACTCAGGAGATTAAGGCTGGAGGATCGCTTGAGCCCAGGAAGTTAAGGCTACAATGAATTCTGATTGCACCACTACACTCTAGCTGAGGGAACAAAAGTAAGACCCCATTTTGAAAATAATTGGCCAATTACAGTGGTTCATGCCTGTAATCCCACACTCTGGGAGGCAGAGGTGGGCAGATCACTCGATGTCAGGAGTTGGAGACCAGCCTGGCCAGCATGGTGAGACCCCATGTCTACTAAAAATACAAAAATTAGCTGGATGTGGTGGTGCACACTTGTAATCCCAGTTACTCAGAAGGCTGAGGCAAGAGAATCGCTTGAACCCAGGAGGCGGAGGCTGCAGCGAACTGAGATCGCACCACTGCACTTCAGCCTGGGTGACAGAGTGAGATTCTGTCTCAAAAGAAAAAAATAATCTGTCTATCTGTCTAGTTGCTTTTCTATAGTTAATGAAATTGTCAACTTTTATTGTTAATTATTGTTCTTTGACTTGTTAGTAGCAGCAAAGTATCATTTGATTTTAGCCAAGAAACTGCTTGAAAATATTATACTTCAGTTCACTTGGAATATCACCAACTTGTGGATTTTTAAGATACTATCCCAACAGAGCATTAAAGGCAGGTTGTGATTTTGCAACTGAAATCACACTTGGAGCTTTGCTCCCTGGACATTTTGGCAATGATCATATTTCTAAGGGATTAGTGATTATTTGGGTAGGATGCATATTGCTGTGATGTGCCTTTTGTTTTTTTATTAGATATATTTTATTTTTTATTTTTTTGAGACAGGGTCTCACTGTTTCACCCAGGCTGGAGTGCAGTGGTGCAATTGCGGCTCACTGCTGCTTTGACCTCCCTAGGCTCAGGGGATCCTTCTAGCTCAGCCTCCTGAGTAGCTGGGACCATAGGCATGTACCACCATGCCCAGCTAATTTTTCTGTTTTTTGTAGAGATGGAGTTTTGCCATGTTGCCCAGGCTGTTCTTGAACTCCTGGGCTCAATCGATCTACCTGCTTCAGCCTCCCAAAGTGTTAGGATTATAGGAATGAGCCACTGTGTCTGGCAGTAGGTTTTAAAAGTTAATATACAAGTCCCTATAATAGGGTTTTGAATAAAAACCCCTAAATAATCACTTCCCTGAAACCCTATGGAGGTGTTCATTTGTCAGCTTCATAAGAATCACTTGGGACTTTTGTTAAATATAGTTTTCAGTTCCACTGTAGAGCTACTGAGGCTTTCTCGATGTTAGGGAATCTAGTTTATAAATACACCAGGTGATCTAATCTTTTAACCAGGTTTGCAAGCCATTTCTGCAAAGTATATTCGTGATGAAAAGTTGTACTTTTAAAGTTTCTTAAGAGGTTGCTGGGTGATTTATATTAATATCTTTATTATTTACAGTGTTAAAAGGATCTGAACAAAGTCTGCTCAAATCTCTTGCTGTGAACCAGCAGAATTTTTGAACAGGTAAGTGTGGAAGGGAAGCACAGAGCCTGAGGGCTTTTGCAAATAGGTGATTTCTGCTTTTAGGTTTCAGTTACTTTTGCCCCATTATTTCTTCTGAGGTTTTGGGTAGTAAGTAGAAACTTCTTCCCTGGTACCTGTCGGATCCTTTATGAACAGTAAGAGTAACATACCTTTCTGCATCGATTCTGGTATGAATTTGTGTCTTAAACTGTCATAATAATTTTTTGTTGGCAAGAAACAAGGAGGAATGCTTTGGAGGTGGGGTACTGTAAAGAACCAAAGAGCAGTTGACTTCATGAGGGACGTGAACCAGAAACTGGGAAGCTTTCAGGAGCCATGGTACTTGTAGATAGCACTTTTGTGCCACCTGGCCAGTGTCCTCTCGTCTTTTTGTCCTGTTTTAGTTGTGTTTGTGCAGTCTGGCTTTTTCTGCTTTAACAAACACATGGTAGCAAAGGGCCACTTAATTCTTGAAGCCACTTATGAACTTAAGCTCTAGTGCCAGTAGCCAACTGATTGCTAGCAGTGTCTACATTTCAGATTCTTCGGAGGGGGGAGATTTGACTGGCTAAACTTGGTTCAGTTCTCTGTCATTGATTAAATTAGTTATGGACATGAGGTTGGAGTCTAGAAGTGCAAACACAGCTGAAAGGTTTCCCTCCTAATGAGGGGGCAGGTCTCAGAGAAGGTAAAATGGTGGCTGTTCTAGGCATACTCCCAGAGAAGCTTCTAGATATTTTTCCGTTTCTAGCATTCCAGAAAAATGTCCTGTATGTAGCTTTGCACACAAAGGATATTTTGTTTTGCCTGTTGTAAAGGATTAACATATATGCCTATCTATTTTTTGGTGAATGAGGCCAGTGGATCTCACCAAGCACACTTGTTGAAATTTATTAGTCCTTTTTTTTTTTTTTTTTTTTTTTTTTTTTAAAGACAGAGTCTTACTCTGTTGCCCAGGCTGTAGTACAGTGGTGTGATATTGGCTCACTACAGCTTTTGCCTCCCTGGTTCAGGTGATTCTCGTGCCTCAGCCTCCTGAGTAGCTGGGATTTCAGGTATTCGCCACCACACTTAGCCAATTTTTAGTAGAGATGGAGTTTTGTCGTGTTGGCTAGGCTGGTCTTGAACTTCTAGGCTCAAGTGATCCACCCGCCTCGGCCTCCCAAAGTGCTGGGATTACACGTGTGAGCCACCATTCCTGGACTTCTTAGTGCACTTTTTATACAAAGCTTCTTGATTTTGGAGGTTCAGAGGAATGGCTGGGTAAAGGTTTAGCAAGCAGCCATAAGCAAAGGAGAAGCTTCGTGTGGAAAAATTCATTGGTTATTTACTTTACATTGATTGTTTTTTATAAATTTCAATTTCTGTGTACTTTTTATAGTATTAAGCTACACTTGAGTATTAGGAAGCCATACAGAATTTGAAAAGTTGACTTTATTCACATTATTAGAGTAGTAATGGGGATTGTCACTTTTGGGAAAGGGTCAGTGAGACAGTATAAACTTTTGAAATAATACGTTTTTGTATTCTGGAATTAGATAATACTGAAGCAAACTTTTTAATACAACATTTCGAAATCCTGTTTATTTTTAAAATTTTAAAATTTATTTTGAGACAGAGTTTCGCTCTTGTTGCTCAGGCTGGAGTGCAGTGGTGCAATCCCAGTTCACTGCAACCTCCACCTCTTGGGTTCAAGTGATTCTCTTGCCTCAGCCTCCCAAGTAGCTGGGATAGGCATGGTCACCCTGCCCCACCAATTCTGTATTTTTTAGTAGAAACGAGGTTTTTCCATATTGGTCAGGTTGGTCTTTACTAACTCCCGACCTCAGGTCATCTGCCTGCGTCGGCCTCCCAAAGTGCTGGGATTACAGGCATGAGCCACCGTGCCCAGCCTTTATTTTTATTTTTTGAGAGGGAGTTTCGTTCTTGTTGCCCAGGATGGAGTGAAGTGGCACCATCTTGGCTCACTTCAATCTCTGACTACTGGGCTCAAGCGATTCTCCTGCCTCAGCCTCCTGAGTAGCTGGGATTACAGGTGTGCACCACCACAGCTGGCTAATTTTTTGTATTTTTAGTAGAGACGGGATTTCACCATGTTGGCTAGGCTGGTCTTGAACTCCTCACCTCAGGTGATCTGCCCGCCTCAGCCTCCCGAAGTGCTGGGATTACAGGCATGAGTCACTGTGCCTATTTATTTTTGTTTGTAGCTCGTATATACTTGGCAACATCTAATTGCTAAACTAATACTTGATTACTTAAATTTTGTTGTATTAGTATGTCCAGATTTTTGATGCAAAGGCTAGAAATCACTAATAAAAGTGGTTTATTACAGAGTGATATATCTAATGACGGTCCACGAATGTGACTTAATGAGACTTTTTTTCACCCAGGATTTTTAGCAGATTGGAGCTGAATTCATTTTTAAGGTAGAAGAGTTCTTTCTCATATTGTACTTTTTCTTAAATCTGGATGTTGACATAAGACATATTCAGAGCTTTGTGAGATTTAAAAAGATTTCTGCATAATTTGTATAAAATTTTTAGAGGAGCTGGGCGCAACGTGGCTCAAATCTGTAATCCCAGCACTTTGGGAGGTTGAGGCTGGAGGGTGACTTGAGCCCAGGAGTTTGAAACTAGTCTAGAAAACATAGGGAGGTCACATCTCTACAAAAATAAAAAAGTTTGGCCAGGTACGGTGGCTCACGCCTGTAATCCCAGTACTTTGGGAGGACAAGGCAGGCAGATCACTTGAGGTCAAGAGTTCGTGACCAGCCTGGCCAACATGGTGAAACCCCGTCTCTACTGAAAATACAAAAATTAGCCGGCTGTGGTGGTGCACACCTGTAATTCCAGCTACTCAGGCGGCTGAGACGGGAGAATCTCTTGAACCTGGGAGGTGGAAGCTGCAGTGAGCTGCAATTGAGTAATTGTACTCTAGCCTGGGTGACAGAGCAAGACTCCATCTCAATCAATCAGTCAGTCAATCAATAAAAAGTCAGCTTTACATTGTGGTTCATGCCTGTGGTCCCAGTTACCTGGGAGGTGAGGTTGGGGGATCCCTTGGGCCTGGGAGTTTGAGGCTGCACTGAGCCGTGATTGCACCAGTGCATTCCTACCTGGGTAACAGCCAGACCTTGTCAGGAAAACATTGGCTTATGGTAAGGTTATCAGATGGTGTGGCAATGTTGATGACACTGTAACTTTTCCTAAAATAGTTCATTTTTGCTAATTCTTTTCACTAAAAGGAAGAAGGAGAAGGAGAAATGTTTATATTTTGTTCAGAAACAGTAGGAAGAATGATAGCAACAGCAATACGTTTTCTTTCTGTAGTGATATTGTGGCTAGTATGTTCTTTGGGAACACAAAGCACCTTTTATTCAAGTTCTCCTGGGCCTGGAGGAAGTCTTGGGAGTTGTGGTCTCTTCAGTGTTGGTCCTTTGGTTATACAGACTGACAAGGAATTGGCAGAAATTTGTGAGGTTTAAAATTCCTCCTGTACGACAATAATTTGGTTGTACACACTGACAAGGAATTGTCTTGGTACTTTCTAATTGATAAATCAAGGCTTAGGTCTTGAAGACTGGCCACATCCAGGGGCTCTCATGATCAGTTTCTTGGGAATTGATGTGTGGTACTGCCCAAACCATGACCAAGTGTCTTCAGTATAACTAGATTAACAGCTATCCTGCAAGATCAGTGAATCAGAGAGCCTTACTGTAGTTCTGGAATCTGATCCTATTCTTCAGCCTTTTGTATTACTTCTACCATTGGGATTTTTTCTGTTGAGACAGAGTTTGTTTTGCCTAGGCTGGAGTGAAGTGGCACCATCTTGGCTCACTGCAGCCTCCACCCCCCTGGGTTCAAGTGATTGTCCTGCCTCAGCCTCCTAAGTGGCTGAAATTATAGGCACATGCCACCACGCCTAGCTAATTTTTGTATTTTTAGTAGAGACTAGGTTTCACTGTGTTGAGCAGCCTGGTCCTGAACTCTTGACCTCAGGTGATCTACCCTCCTTAGCCTCCCAAAGTGCTTGGATTATAGGTGCGAGCCACTGCACGCAGCCCATTTTAGTTTTTAAAAGTTTTTTTAGAGGCCGGCACGGTGACTCACACCTGTAATCTCAGCACTTTGGAAGGCTGAGGTGAGTAGATCATGAGGTCAAGAGTTTGAGACCAGCCTGGCCAACATGGTGAAACCCCATCTCTACTAAAAAAAATACAAAAAATTAGCCAGGCATGGTGGCACGTGCCTGTAATCCCAGCTATTCAGGAGGCTGAGGCAGGAGAATCGCTTGAATCCTGGAGGTGGAGGGTGCAGTGAACCGAGTTTCACTCTAGCCTGGGCGACAGAGCAAGATTCCATCCTGGGGAAAAAAAAAAATTTTGTAGAGATGAAATCTCACTATATTGTCCAGGCTGGTCTTGAACTCCTGGGCTTAAGTGGTCCTCCTGCCTTGGCTTCCTAAAGTGCTGGGATTATAGACGTGAGCCACTGTGCCTGGGCTCTAGCCAATTTTTAAATATTAGAAATGGGGGTGGTGGTCTCGCTATGTTACCCAGGCTGGTTTAGAACTTCTAGCCTCAAGCAATCCTCCTACCTTGGCCTCCTAAAGCGTTTGAGATTACACGTATCAACTACTATACCAGCCATCTTTGTAAGTTTTGAATAGACATGTCAGTGAGTTCTATTTGTGGGTCTTTTATCTTAAAAAAACTTTTTAAACCCTGCAACTATTTGAATGTTTGCCTTATGCCAGGTGCTGGACTAGCCTTGGTGGTTGAGCAAAGCACGTACTGTTCTATCTTCATGGGCCTTACAGCCTAATGAGAGAGGCAGTCAAACAATCATTTAAGTAAAATCCAAAATGTGAAAAGTCTTTTTGTACTTGGAAAAGGTACAGTTTGAAAACACTGGATACTTGTTGAGTAAGTGTCACGTTTTGGATCTTGGTGTTCTCTGTATTTTTTTTTTGGAGACGGAGTTTCATCACTGGAGCGCAAT